TAGCCTTCACAGCGTCCTGCAGCAAGGAGTTCCACAGGTTGACTATTTGCTTTGTGAAGAAGAACTTTCTGTTATTAGTTTGAAGCCTGCTACCCATTCCTTTCCTTTGGTGTCCTCTAGTCCTTCTATTATGGGAACTAATGAAGAACTTTTCTGAATGCACCCTCTCCACCCCACTCATGCTTTTATAGACCTCTATCATATCCCCCCTCCATCTCCTCTTTTTTAAGCTGAAAAGTCCCAGTCTGTTTAGCCTCTCTTCATATGGGACCTGTTCCAAACCCCTCATCATTGTAGTTGCCCTCCCCTCTCCCACCCTCTCTCTTCCCCTCTCCCACCTCCTTTTCCCAGTCTCCCCCAGTTTTGTTCAATAAAGAGAGATTCTATTTTTGAACACAATTGTCCTTTATTCTGTACATCAGGAAGGGGGGCTAGGGAGGGGTAAGTGGAAGGAGGTGAGGGAGGAATGGGGTACGAGCTCCCGATGGGGAGGACTGGGGTGGCTCTGTGGGCTTCTGGGGGTGGAACCTCTCCTGCAGCCCCCCAATTGCCCTCTCTCCCCAGATGGCAGCCTGCGGCAAGTGCAGCCGGGCTGATGGCCGAGTGCTGTGATGTGCCCAGTGTGGGTATTCCGGGCAATCCAAGCCAGGACTGCTTTGCAAGCGGGGCACCCCTGAGAACTGTCTGTCCGGGGTGGGGGTCGGGTCCCTTTAAGCACAGCCCTCGGCTAGCCTGAGGCAGCAGCTCCATGCTCTGAGTCCTCATCTGATGCCCTGCCGGCACTGCTTCCGGCCATCCTTAACCCCGGTTCAGGGTCCACTCTGTGTGGACATGCTAGTTCGAATTAGCAAAACACTAATTCGAACTAGTTTTTTAGTCTGGATGCATTAGTTCGAATTAACTTAGTTCGAATTAACTAATTCGAACTAAGTTAGTTCGAATTAGCACTGTAGTGTAGACATACCCTTAGGGTTTATAGTAGATCACAGGCTGAATATGAGTCAACAATATGATGTAATTATGAAAAAAGCTAATATTCTGAGTCTATTAAAAGGAATGTTTTAAGGAATGTCATATGTAAGATATAGGAGGTAATCATTCCACCTTACTCCAACTAAGACCTCATCTGTACAGCGCACTGTGTACAATTCTGTGCTCTGCAGCATGGAAAATATATGGACCAGACAGTTTGGAAAACCTGACCTATAAGGAAAGGTTAAAAAAAGGTGCATGTTTAGTCTTGAGAAAAGAAGACTGTGGAGGGAGTGGGACCAGATAAGTGTTCAAATACATTAAGGGCTGTTCTATAAAAAACAATGATGAATTCCTCTCCATGTCCACTGAAGGTAGAACAAGTACTAATGGGCTTAACCTGCAGCAATGGATATTTAAATTAAATGATTTTATGATGCCGCAGAGGATGGGGTCGGAGTGGGAGGGGTTGTTGGGGTTTTTTTGTTTTGTTTTGTTTACTAATTTAGACAAGTTAAAGTAGGGAAGATTTTGAATATCAACTCTGAAGCCCTAGCCCTGTAAACGTTTAGGTACATGAGTAATATTTCATGCAAACAAGCAATCCCATAGAAGCTGATGGGACTACTCATGAAGTAAAGTTAGACACATGCATACATATTTCCAGGTCTGAGGCCTACATCAGACAACTGAACAGATCAAAAGTGAGCTACAGGTTTATTTGTGATTTAAAAAAATGCAATTCATACTTAGTAACTGAATTAAGAACAAGATTAAATCAAAGGAGAGCTATAATCAATACATTTGAGTATGAGGACAGCATCTCTCACTATTGCCTCGTTAGCTCACAGTGGCTAATAAAGGTTAAGAATAAAAACATATAGTAATCTGCCAGTGGCAGCATTCTCAGCAGAAGTCGTTCAGCTGTGGAACTAGTCAGAAAAAGCCTTCATGACATACTACAAGATCTGCTGGTTTGTTCAGGTTTTTCCTTGAAAGATGGCTTAGGGGTGTGGGTTTTTTTAAGCTGTCATTCTAGGTTGTAAAATCACACCATATCATGAGTGATTTTTATATTTCTATGTACATGTGTAAATGTGTATAGCTATGCATATTTCAGAAGTTTAAAAATACAAATAAAATGCAATAACATTCATTAATACATGTATGATGTTACTGGTTATATCTTATAAGGGTCAAAACAATCAGTACAGAAATTATATAGCACTGTGCCAGAAAAGACAGAAGATTTGTGGCACCTGGGAAGGAATACCAGGTTAGGCTAACCCTTGCCAGCAGCAAGTCCCAATTTATCCTGCTTGACTTTACTGGGAACTGCTCACTTTGCACTAGTTTGTTTGCCTAGCAGAGGAATGCTTTGCCTGAAGAACAACAGAGGCTGGATGACAGATCCACTGCAGCAGACAAGGACCAGGCATTTCTGATGCATGGCCTAGATCTGCTCCATGTATTCAGGTTGGCCTGAAGCATGTGAGGGAAAAGGGGCTGAAAATACATGGGGATCATGATGCTCTCTGCCAATTTTCAAGATCCTCTATTCTGGCACTCATAAACTGGGGGGCTAGCTAGATGGTGTCTTTTTCTTTTAAAGGAGAATACAGGGTGAGGGATGGGGTAGAAAGCTGGGATACTGCTACAATGGGGGAGCCATTCAGGATAAGTCATGTGTCCCTGGGGCTGAAACCTTCTAACAGGTATCCTAAGATAGTCTTGACACCATTTTAAGTATATGAAACATGAAGTGACCTAAGTTATGCGCTAGAGGTGCAGATGCATTGTGAGTAGTGTACAGCATTAGGGAGGAAATAAGGGTATGTCTACACTACCCCCCTAGTTCGAACTAGGGGGGTAGTGTAGACATACCCTTATTTCCTCCCTAATGCTGTACACTACTCACAATGCATCTGCACCTCTAGCGCATAACTTAGGCCCCCGTGCCGCGCGGCTACACGGGGCCCGGACTAGCTAGTTCAGATTAGGCTTCCTAATCCGAACTAGCTGTACGCCTTGTGCCACGAGGTGTACAGCTAGTTTGAATTAGGAAGCCTAATCCGAACTAGCTAGCCCGTGCCGCGTGTAGCCGTGCGGCACGGGGTTCGAACTAGCCGGCATTTAAAAATGGCGTCGGCCGGCTTCATGCAAATGAAGCCCGGGAAATTCAAATCCCGGGCTTCATTTGCAACTCCGGATGACTACATTACCCCTCTAGTTCGAACTAGGGGGGTAGTGTAGACATACCCTAAGACACACAGAGCAGATCCAGGCACCTGAGACAAGATTTTCAGAAAGTGTTGTTAAAAAGGGGGGGGCTCTAAATCCATAGTTTAGGCACCTAAACAGTAAGATTTTCATTTTCTGTTGTCTTCAGTGAGAACTACTGAGAACTCAGCATTTCTGAAAATCAGAACTATAGACTAAACTATGTCCAAACGGGGTTGGGGTGAGTCGCGTCAGGCTGTTGCTATTGAAATCAGGGAGTTTGTCATTGCTCACTCAGGCTGCTGCATGTGTATCATTTTTGTGTTTAAATATTAGTCTTCTGCCTTGACAGGGGCCAAAAGGGGATTCAATTGTTGGACCAAGAGGCCCCCCTGGATTGCCTGGCCTACCTGGACCACCAGGGTATGGAATAGTTGGACCTCCAGGCCCACCAGGCCCTCCTGGGCCTCCAGGACCCCCATCGATATATGGCTCAGGTGAGGGAATTCTGAACCAGCTTTTCCTCTGAATGTATGTGTGTGTGCACACTAGCATGTCTAGCATCCCTTCTAAGCTAACCACTATGTCCCATACCCTGTCATATTCCCACCCTACCCATCTGTCTATTAGCTGTGCAACAGAATTATCCAACACCCGAATAAACACAACTCGCTGGGGAAGATTCAACACAACTTTTGTAAAGGAAAAGCTCTGCCTCCCTAATCTGTTAAAATTCTCGGAGGGAGTCAACAAGCATGTAGATAAGGATGATCCAATTGATATTCTGTAGTTGGATTTTCAGAAAGCTTTTAAGGAAACTTGGACTATGTCTAGACTACAGGGATTTTTCAAAAAAAAATTGGCCTTTTTTCGAAAAAATTTCATCTGTGTCTAGACTGCTGTCGTGTTCTTTCAAAATTAAATCGAAAGAATGCAGCAGGTTTTTCGACAGCGGTAAACCTCATTTTAGGAGGAAAAATGCCTTTTTTTTTCCCGCAAGAGCTCTTTCGAAAAACGCGTTCTTGAACGCAAATGGGGATTTTTCAAAAGAGAGTGTCCAGATTGCCTGGGTCCTCTCTTTCGAAAAAGCGGATCGCTTTTTTGAAAGTCTTGTGGCAGTCTAGACGATCTCTTTCGAAAGAGGCTTGTAGTCTAGACATACCCTTGGTAACCAGGGGATAAGAGGGAAGGTCCTCTCATGGACCATTAACTGGTTGAAAGGTAGGAAACAAAGGTGGGGGGAATAAATGGTGAGCTTTCACAATGGAGAGGGTGAATGGTGGGATCCCTAAGGAGCTGTACTGGGCAGTTACAAAGGGATCTCTTAAACCTGGGTGACTGGGCAGCAAAATGTGAATTGAATATCAATATTTTAAATGCAAAGTAATGCACACTGGAAAAAATAAACCCAACTACACAAATACAATAATGGATTCTGAAGCAGCTGTTAGCACCCAAAAAAGAGATTTTAGAGTCACTCACGATAGTTATCTGAAAACTTCCATTCAGAGCACAGCAGCAGTCAAAAAGGGTACCCCGTATTTTCGGAACAAATAGGAAATAGATAAAAAATAAGACAGAATCATAATGCCACTATACAGATCCAAGAATATTGTGTTCAATTCTAGTCACCACATCTCAAAAAGAATACACTGGACAGGGATGTTAAATATTGGTTAACTGAATAGTCAATTAACCTCATGAATTCTTATCAGTTACTTGACTATTCTTTAGTCCCCAGGGGTAGGGCCAGTAGCCAGTGTGCTCCAGCCCCATTCCTAACACTCTGTGCTGCTGCCTCTGCAAGACATAGTCTGCAAGGGGAGCCAGTTTAAAAACCAGCTCCCCTCATGGACCAACTGCCTGTCTCTTGGCAGCAGCCCTTGTTCAGAGAGGGTAGTCTAAGCTCCTGGACCTGGCATGAGCTGGAACTGAGCTAGGCTGCTTACCCACCTGGCTCCTAATGCACTTTAAATGCAGAGCTGCAGTGGGGGTAGGTTCTGAACCCTGCATGAACGAGGGCTGAACCAGGCTGCTTGCTAGTCTGCTAAACAATTTACTGGTAAGTCAGGGGAGGAAATGCGTGTAGTCTATAGCAGGGGTTCCCAAACTATTTGACACGGGGACCAGTAAATCCATTCATGAGCTTTGGGAGGACCGGTAACATTCATTTGCATATTTGCATATTCATTAAGCAAATCATGAATATTCAAATATGTTCTTTCTGGTCCTCCCAATACCCCCAGTGCCAGCTTTAGCAAAGCTTTTGATACGGTCACCCACAATATTCTTGCCAGCAAGTTAGGGGAATATGGATTGGATAAATGGACTGTAAGATGGATAGAAAGCTGGCTAGACCAGGGTTTCCCAAACTTTTTACTTCAGTTGGAATCCGTTTTTTTTTCAGTACTGTTTTGCAGCCCAAAAATATAAACGCATATAACAAAAATTAAAAATCAATACATTTTCAGTGCTTCGCCCAGCTGCATCTTCTGCCCAGCCTGGGCCAGGGCTTGGGGGACCCAGCGTGGCATGGGCATTCCAGGAGGTGGGAGCAGGAGCAGATTGGTGGTAGGGTATCTGGCTAGGAGGGAGGGTGCAAGGAGAAGTAGGGTTGCCAGGTGTCCAGTTTTGTACTGGACAGTCCGGTATTTGAGGGTTCTGTTCAGGAAGCAAATTGAGAAAATACCGGACATATAAAATGTCTGGTATTTTCTAATTAGGTAAGTTTTATTATTATTATTATTAGGTGTATCAATCCGTAGCTGCAAACTGCCTGGCTGGTAGATGTGCTCATGCTTCATGAGTGTATCTACCAGACAGGCAGTTCGCAACTACTCGAGGGAGGCTATGGGGCGGGCAGGGCAAATGGAATCTCCAAAGCCAGACTCACTCGTGTGCCTGGGTCAGTCCCGTTTCCCGCCGGCCGATTCACTGCCCCTCCCCCCGCTTCTCCTCCCGATCTCCTCCTGTCCAGCCCTGCTGCCCCTGTCCAGCCCTTCTTCCAGCAGCTGGTTCTCCCATCTTCCTCCTCATGATCTCCCCTGTCCAGCTCCCCCACCCTCCGTCTAGCCCTGCTTCCGCCGGCTGATCTCCACCGGACAGTCCCGCTGCCCCCAACCCTGCTTCCCAGTGGCCAGTTTCCCCCACACACACACACCTCCTTCCAGTCCACTCCCCTCCAGGCAGCCACACTGATGCCCGGTACCTGGCCGCGACCCATAGTTTGGGAAATGCTGACATAGGCAATACCCAAACATTTTGAGTTTTCACACCTTTCAGTTTTCAATCCCCAAAAGAGCTTGAAAAAAGAAAAGAAAAACAAGCTGCTGTCTCTGGTAGCTGACCCCTCAGTGTGAGGCATTCAGATACACACAGACAGACATTCCAGGACACAAGAATCAAATCATCACCTTAAAAAAGGTGATTTTCATTACAAAAGATAAACTTGATAAAGCATACTTGGTTGCTAGATGTTACAGAGCAACTAAGGAAAACAAATTAAAACACAGAGAAAAGCCTCTGGGCACAGTGCTAGATGGTAAATGGGGAGGGGAAGCACAGAGCAGTTCAAACCAAACGACAAAATAAAGAAAAATGACCCTGAATGCAACTAGATTCGCTTTTCCCCCCTACTTACTTTCAGATTTATTTTTGTTCAGTCCACTCCCATGCCCCAAAATTCCTTGGAGTCCTGCCTGGGTTTAAATCATTCTGGGCTCGTCTACACTGGCCCCTTTTCCGGAAGGGGCATGTTAATTTCAGAGATCGTAATAGGGAAATCCGCGGGGGATTTAAATATCCCCCGCGGCATTTAAATAAAAATGTCCGCCGCTTTTTTCTGGCTTTTAGAAAAGCCGGAAAAGAGCGTCTACACTGGCCCCTTTTCCGGAAGGGGCATGTTAATTTCAGAGATCGTAATAGGGAAATCCGCGGGGGATTTAAATATCCCCCGCGGCATTTAAATAAAAATGTCCGCCGCTTTTTTCTGGCTTTTAGAAAAGCCGGAAAAGAGCGTCTACACTGGCCCCTTTTCCGGAAGGGGCATGTTAATTTCAGAGATCGTAATAGGGAAATCCGCGGGGGATTTAAATATCCCCCGCGGCATTTAAATAAAAATGTCCGCCGCTTTTTTCGACGTAGGAATAAGATCCTCCAGAAAAGGGCGCTTTTTCCGGAGGATCGGGGCCAGTGTAGACGTAGCCTCTGTGTCTCTCAGCTCCTGGTTTTTGTCTCCCACACAAAGAAAGCAGGCAAGGAATCTATATCCAATTCAAATGTCAATACTCTCTCTCGATTGGTTCTCCCAGCCCCCTGGCCAACAGCTTTGCTAGCTACCTGACTTTAACCCTTTAGTCACTGGGTGCTGGTTAGCACTCCTCCTGTCCATTACAATCTCTCCCACCTTCTTCAGAGGCAGACCTTTTATTGAACCTGGTCAAGCCAATTTATTCTGCCCCGCTCTCTCAGTTGCAATATAATTATCAGAAGTACTTGTCTGCTTTCCTGTCTACATGCAAGCTCACTTATGACTGAATTAACCATTAGCAAGATAGCAAAAACTATATCAAACACAGACAGATAAATAATATTCCTAAAATACTCCAGATATCTAACATGTCCTCCAGATCAAGCACTGTTTGAAATCGCTTAAAACCCAGTCAGACTAAATAAAACATTCCAGACAACCGTCAGGTGTGTTTCTTGCCTAGACTTTTGGTTACCTGTTCTGTCACTGACCTCAGTTTCCTTCCTACACATCCTCCTCTCTGCTTTATTAAGAAAACTGATGAATATCCATTTAGTACATCTGAGTGGAGCCCAGGCTTGATTTTGTCTCCTTTTAATTAGGTTACTGCTTAGTCATGTCATAGTGCACATGCTGTAGTGTGGGAGACAGGAAAGGCTAACTTCTTGAATGCTGACTTTGAATCAAGCCTCTGTCCCTTGCTACAGGCACAGAATGCTCTACAAAGATTCTCAGAAGTGCACCGGAATGATGACTCTGTAGTTGGCTTCCTGGTTACATGAGAGTTAATGAAAAACATATTTTGGAAACGTTAGCAGCACGAAACAGCAACAGGGGATTTTTTGTTCTTCCATTAACTCATCATCATCACATGTTTTTATACGCTAATAAAACAAGCCTCATAGCGTGTAAATGCTCATACGATATGGCTTTCTGAATCTTGGGAGGGGTGTTAACTACTGTTTTAAAATGTTTTAATGATGTTGTATTTAGCATAAACTAGTTCAGACTGGAAGGATACAAGAATATAGTAGCAACAAGATATAAATGACTTTTTCTTTAAAATATATTTGGTGTAACTTTTTAATTTTTTCCTTAATTAACTTATACTCCTCTCGTGTCACTGCGGGTGTGATCCCTGACCCACTGAAGTCAGCAGAAGCAGGATTGGGCCCTTTTCTCTGTGCCCTTTTCTTTTATTATCCCTCCCATGGAACAGCAGAGAAACTCAGGAAACCTTCCTGTAGGCTTTGGATGAAAAGGAGTGGGACATTGTGTAAAGTGCAGCCACCTACCCTTAACAGATTTTCTCAGAGACAGTCATCAGGGGAAATTATCATGACATTTCTCCTTCAGTTTGTAAACACTATGGGTGTGTCTAGACTACATGCCTCTGTCGATGGATTAGACAGATAGGCAAAGGGAAATTAAGCCGCGATTTAAATAATCGCGGCTTCATTTAAATTTATATGGCTGCTGCGCTGAGCTGACAAACAGCTGATCAGCTGTTTGTCGGCTCCGCGCGCTAGTCTGGACGCGCTGCGCCAACCTGAAAGCCTTTTATCGACATCCCCCTTATGCCTTGTAGGATGAGGTTTACAGGGGATGTCGATAAAAGGCTTTCATTTCGATAGAGGAGCGTCGCAGGATCTTATGAGGGAGATAAGGCAAAAAGCCACATTTATTGTAAAGATAATAATAAAAAAATAAAGAAAAGATAGAATCGAACAACGTTGTTTAACTACTTAACCCTTATACATATAAACATTCATTCATCCAGTCATTCAGGTTCTGTGTATTTGTTATAGTTACCAGCCTGGAAGTTGCTTGTGACAGAATACTGGCCAGGTATTCTGTACACAAGTGATGGTAGTGGGGAGTGAAGTCCTGATCAGATGCGCATCTGAAGCTCCTGGTAGGCTGGCAGCAGAACCTTGGACTCTGATTCCATAGTTTTTTAGTCCAGTTCTTATAGGAATTTCTTCCTATGCCAGTCTATGGAAATTGCTGCATCATGCTGATGTCTCCAGGGTGGCTGCCAGGTGCTCGTCAGTGATCTCATCGGGTGGACCTCCAGTACTTGGTTTTCTCCACTTGACACCTTTTGGTTGCACTGGCACCTGACGCCTTCTTCAGCCCTTTGTTGCTGTATTCTCAGGCTGGCACCTCTCAGAACCATTCATTCATCATCCAAGCACTCTCTCTCTTACATACAGTATTTTGTATAATAATAAAAGTTGTAGTTACAAAAGTTTCTGGGTGGTATTGCTTAAAACATTCTCTGAGTGCTGAGTAAAGTTACAATGTTTTAAAGAGAACAGGCGTCAATTATGTAACAATGCCCTTAGTCAATTACAGGGCTTGGCTCCCATAGCAGAGTTAGTGGCTTGACAATGCATTGTTACAATGTATCTCTGCAATGTCAATTTCAAGCAGCCCCTTGCACAAGCTTGAGCATGCCCTGGGACACAGAGAGGGGGCTGTTTCTGGCTACATAGGATTATATTCTTAACAGTTCTAAGTTACATGACCTAATACATTATATTCTAAAGGGGCAATAATAATAATAAATCTAAACATTTAACAATCTTAACTAATAATAATAATAATAAGAAGAAGAATTAATAATAAATCTAAAACACTTTAAGTTGTGGGGAACAAATTATGGGGGGGTCACTTCCATTTGGAGGAATCATTTTCAATACATTAATATGTTATCCCTACACAGACTAGTGCCCGGAGCCGACAAACAGCTAATCAGCTGTTTGTCGGTTCAGCGCGGCAGCCATGTAAATTTAAATGAAGCCGCGATTATTTTAATCGTGGCTTCATTTCCCTTTTTCGAATACACAAATCTACATGCAGGTAGTTTAGACGTACCCTATGTGTCAATGTTGTGCATGTTACAGAGACTGTCACACAGTTTGCAGAGTTGCCAGCATTTGAAAAAAATTCAAGCTACCAAATATTGCCTCACAACTTCTCCCTCTTTTTCTCACAAAAAAAAGAGATGTGAAGTGTATTTTTGTTTTGTTTTATCAGCTGCATTTCCAGGACCACCAGGTCCACCCGGGGAGCCAGGGTTACCAGGAGCCAGGAATCTGGTAAGAGAAGAAAACTTCAGTTTGCCATTTTGAGAGCATGAGTCCTCTCCCATCAATGTCAATGGAAACACTCCAGTGGACGGTCAATACTGCATCACTTCTCTCTTCTGAACAATACATTTTCAGGAAATAGAGCAAAGAAAATAAAGCTCAGTTTGGTTATTATTAGCATCTTTTCCAGATAATTCAAAAAGATGAATAGGGTTTTAAACCAGTGGAGGTACTGTCTGTTGCAGACACAGGTCAGGACCTCTGAAGAAGTATGTAAAATGGCAGCTTGATATTTATGATTAGAATAAATAATACAGGCAGTCCCCGACTTACGCGGATCCGACTTACGTCTGGGCGGCTTTGCTCCCGTCCTCCTGGTCTGCTGGGGGGGGTCCAGAAAAGCCACTGGACACC